GCCGGCCGCGGTTGATTTAGCAAGGGTATCGAGCGAGGAGAGACTCTCCTCTCCCGAGCGCCAGTTTTCGATCGGCAAGGAAGGGATCTTCCGCGCGTAATTTCCGTGACCCAAGACCGCCGTCGTGGGGTCAGATCGATAAATCACTGTCAAGTTTCAGCGATTCGTCCATTGATAACGGGATGCCGCGAACAAGGAAGGCTTTCTGATGAAAGCCGACCGTTTTCAGAGTGGACGTATTCAGAGGTTCGCTCGTGGCGGAGGAGAAAAGAGAGAGAGAGAGCTTTGGCCACCTGGTCGAATTCTATGGATTGGATTCTCTGGTCTTGGATGATGATCGAATCGTGGATTTGGGGATTGAGCGGTAGGTAGTGATGGGATCGAGTCGAATGTGGTATTTAAGATGACAAGTACAAGTGTTGGATTTATTGTTTTTTTTTTTTAGGAATTAGGGAATGTTGATTTTTAAGATAGATGTATTTGTTTGTTTGAATCGAGCAAATGTAAATATTATCGTATTCATTTATTTTGTATTGATGATATAAATGTATTTGTTTATTAATGGTATTTGGAAATGAATATTTTGTTTGAGCCCATCACTACCATTTTATGTACAATGGAGTTCTTACGAGTTAAATTGTCGTGGTTTGATAACTGACAGGTTTTGTTGTGTTAAAAAAAAATTGTAGAAAGTCTTCGATATGGATGAAAGATGATCTGTCGTATGATTGGAAGAAATGCCAAAAAATTGAATAGCATTTTTTTGAACGTTCGAATCTTAACGTCTTTTTTAATTAACGTATTATAATGCTATTCTTCAGAAGATTAAACGTACGAGTGCGTAACAATAGATATCTGAACTGATGGATCTTTTGATTGTTGAGACAGTGAGAGGTGTTTGATTTAGAGATTATTAAAAAATGCTCTGAAATATTTAAACAGAATTTGGAAAAGTAATATTTATTGTTTAAGCTTTCTAAATATCTTATAAAGAATAAACTTTAATTAATTGTGCACATATCACTAAATTCAAATTCATCACCAATTTTAAATCCCATCTTCAAACTTGTTTTACTTCAATCTAATCTCAAATCTCTCTTCCAATTCTAGAACCATCAAATACCTTCAAACTCATTATCTCTTATTTCAAACTCTGACCCTAATCCTTAACTTTCAAATCTAATTACCCAACTCACATCGTCAACAAAACCAAATGGTGTCATCTAACAAAGTGTCGAGACTTATCCAACAAAAAACTTTTGAAATCTACCATCCTCAACAAATAATGGCATCATAACAAAGTTCCAAGAGAACACTTTAATAACAAACGTAACAAAAGTTCTAACAACTAGTAACATTAAAAAAAAAAAATTAGACCACAAACCAAATGAATCATTATCACATTGGATAACGATCTTTCTCACATCCTTACAGAAATTTTTCTATCTTTCATCCGAGAATCGAAGGTCCTTCTGTCACAACGAAATGGGACACGTCAAAAGATCGTAACCCCGTATGAATTCGCGTCGAACCGCCCACGCGGCACGATGTGTATGATAATATTTCATCGTAATGTCACAACGGGCGAAACCAGACGCACGCTCATAAATAAAGAGAAGTCAATGGAAGAACTATTCGTGCACGGAACACGCCTATTCGCGTCCTGTCAGCGGTTAGATCTAACCCATTCAAAACCGAAGGAGAAACGGGGAGAGAGAAAAGTCGCTTGTCTAAACTTGGGGAAGAATATTGTGAATGAGAGACGTTGAGGATCGTGATGGAAGGCGAGAATGTTATGGTTATGATTTGATCGAGGATTTGAAACTGGGCTTGGATATTATTTGAATGAAAACACGTCGCATGTCGTGAATAAATATTGTTTGTACTCGTTTCGATCTTGGCGAAATCGAAACAAAATGATATAAATAGTAGCAGCGTTAATAGATTAGTTAGAAATAGAACGAATTCTTGTATAATTTTAAATCTAAATTATTCTGCTATATAATAAATATAGAATTCTTGCGCGTAAAATAGTTTATAAAAGAAGTAAAACCGTAATCGATAAATATATTTTAAAATATCTATTCCGCATTTCCATAGTTTCGCTTAGATAAAATTTTTATCGATCAGATCGAAAATTTCTAAATTACGTAAGGGGAAATTATTTCTATATCCTTCGAGGCGAAATGATAATTTTCGAAGGACCATTTTCACCGAGGCACGAATTATTCTGCTCGAATGGTTTCTTGAATGTATAAGGTTGAAGTTCAAACAAATCGGGTAAAATGACTCGGCGCGGCACCACCAGTCGGCCATCAACTTCTACGCTATAATTGAAAATTATAGTCCATGCATACGCATGCTTTATTGCGGAAGGAATGCACTCTGAGGCAACGCAGCGCATTACCGTTAATGCCTATAATAATATTCAAAACTATTAGATTTTTAATCTACTTCTATTTCGTAACTGTGAATCTTATCATCTTCGATTCGATGTCATTCACGCGATAAATTGAAAAATATATCAATAAAAAATCCTTTGAATTTTTCTCTACAAAGTCGGAATTATTTTATTTCTCAAAGTATTTTTACCTTTAATCTTATTTTTTATAAAAAAAGATTTAACAATTTTTAAAAATATGAAAAAATCTAACGAATTCCTTTAAAAAAATTAAAAAATTTTCTTTCTCCACGGAAATTTACAAAACGATGGAAGATATGAAATAAAAATAAAATTTATTTAAATATATTACATTTATTTAAAGAATTATTTTAAGACTTGCGTTTCTATTACTTACTTTCATAACTTATTTTCATAATAACGATATATTATGTCCTAATAATATGTGTCGAAAATTTTCTGTATAAATAGGAATAATGATGTTCTTAATTGCTTCAGGGGAAAAGTAGTACAATGAAGAACGAAGAATGCTCTAAAAAACAAGGTTAACGGACTTACATTGATGTTTGTGTGGTCATTATACATATGTATGTACATGTATATAATAAAAAAAAAGATGCAATAAAAACATCTTACAATTTACAGTTTTAAAAAATAAGGTCAGAATTATACAGCTCCTTGTTTTTTCAGCATATTCATTAATTTATTTTAAAATAGAAAGAACGTTTCGAAATCTAAAATCAAACCACTTCAAACTTTATCAAATCTATTCTACTTTATTCAAACTATCTCACTCCCTTGCTATTTCTTCACTCGTTTTATTTTCTTTTAACATTAAATTAAATTTTATTTACGTCCAACTATCTCAAACTTAACTCAAACTATTTCGTTCGAAATAAATTATGAAAAACTTATATACTTAAATACGTAAAAAAATCTTTAAGCATCGATCATTATCCAAAAATTAATGTAAGGAAGTGTACACCAAAGATGACCACTCGATCTCAAACTCGGTCAAACACGTTTCTATCCCGAGTATTCATCTCGACACCAACGCGTGCCCGGTTAGACACGCAGTAGAAGGCGGAGGATGGTTCGATGCCCTTCTCGAACCAGTTCGAGAGACGTCAACGAGTCGTCTATGAATTCAGGTATCCCGTTTTTTATCCGAGATCCCGTTTCTGCGCTTCCTCGTTCTCTTTTCTCCCGGAACATCCGCGCACGAGACGATCGCGAGACGAAATAACGATGATGCGATCGATGTTCGAATAATAATTCGGATAAAGGTTGGAGGTAAAATCTGATATATATTTTTTAAAGTAACAAACAATCGAAGAGTAAAAGAAAAACATCAATACAAGTCTCTAGATAGATTTCACAAAATCATAAAATGAAAATTTTTATTTAAGATTATATATGAAAATAATTGTCGAAGATCGAAGATAGCAATAGAGATAGAGATTACATTAATATATTTCCAGAATTTTTGAGAATGGATTTTGAAAGACAAACACAAAAATAATCAATATAAAAATATCAATCGAGACTCATTTATTACGACGACCGAAGATTAATTTCAAGCACAACTTTTCTTGTTAAAAATTAACAAAATAATAATAAATCTTTTTATCTTTGCAGAAAAATATAATAATTCGAAATATTTAAAAAGTAAGAAAGCAAAAATAATAAATAATAATAATCAAATAAATAAGAATATAAAGAATATACTAATAGTTAAGAGTCACGTGGCGCTAGTGTCGCAGCTAAGTCATAGTTAAGTCCTGAGCAATTGAAATTTAAACGAACGAACGATATATTGAACACTCTACATATTTATATCTTTTTATTTTAAGAAGTAACTAAAGAGATCACCTAAATTTATTTTCTTAATCTTCATTAACTTGCTTCAACTTTTTCGTTTGTCCCATCGAGATTAAGATACGAAAATAACGATTAAGTTGGTTAAGTTTTCTCGCATCTAATTATTGGTCACGATCGCGATTATTACATCCAATGAGAATTTACGAGGGGCCTTCTTTCGTCAGGCCCTAATTACGAAGACCAACGTGAACGATCACGACACGCGACTCGCGATCCACAGTTTCGATCCCTCCTCAGGTGCTATCGAGATTACGATTGTGGATAATGTAATGGGATGATTTATCACCGCTCGAGTATTCATCTTGGAGGAGGGAAGATGGAGATTAGTGTTGGTGATTCTTTATCTTTGAGAATGGTAGCGATGCGATGAGGAATTAGGTTGATCTTTTGTTTCGATTAAAGGGTGGGGATATTTGATGGATTTGATTGCATTATGTTAAGGCATTTGAAGTGTTTCAAAGTGTAAAAAGTTTTGAGATGGTACACTAGATTGGAACAGTTTGAAAATAAATGGCATGAGAGTGTTCTGAATAATTGTTCCCCTATGTTTTTTGCATTTTTGAAATGCATATAAATAATAAATTGTATTTATTATTAATATAAGATGCAATAGAAAACTCTAGTTCAACTCAACAAGTTTTCTTAATTTTGATCTTACAAAATTTATGAACGCATTAATTATAAGTTTGATTTCTTTTTACTTTTATTTTTACTGACCTATTGAACGACCTATTCTCACGGGTTTTCTGAAAGATAACCATCTGAAGAATCAAAGAATCCGTCTGGTGGTCGGAATATCCAGATCCAGCAGACACTTGACACAGTCTTCGATAATCGCATACTGATTCTCGTGTTACATTTCAGCAGATTCAATTTCTCGAATATACAGTAGTAGTGCACGATGATCCTGGAAACTGGAACAGGTTACATCTTTCCTCTGAACCTGTGAAAAAAATAAAACAATCTGATAAGAATATGAAAAATTACAAAAACTTTTCCTACGATCATTTCTTCAAACTTTTCCATTTGATTATTACCTCTTCTCGATATTACATAATATTGTTTCAAAATAAATTATTTACATCCTCGACTTTTCCATCCGTATTTTTATTTCTTACACGATATTATCCTATTAATTCAAATCACTCTATTTCACTAATTCTCCACTGAAAATTTTCTCAATATTGTTTCACCGTTACAAAACTGAGACTATAACTCGATGCAAGATTTACAATAATGTTAATTCGCTTCACACCCTAACGATGACATCCATTCACGATCATGCCATTAAGTGATATTAAATTATCCACTTGTTACAAAGTTTCGTCGTTGAATTCCTATCGAGTTCGATAATTGGCTATAATTAATAGCGATGTAGCGATTCGCGAGGCATTTCGTGACGTAACGACCTCGATCGAAAGGTCGAAATCTCGATCTTACATCCATAAGAAATAGGCGGCATTGTTCCAATCACAGAAGAGGGAGCGAGTTAAAAGGGCATTTCGTGTTGTGCACACCTTTATTCATAAGTGTCGACCAACGAAGAAAATTTTTTTTCACAGCGAAAGAAGAAGATATAAAAGAAAAACGACACATTTCGTTCGTTGAAATAAACTATTTTTTACTATTTCACTCGAGAAATTTGAGAATAAAATGAAAATTATTGTTAAAGAAAATTTCATTGGAAAATGAGGATACGATTGCAAATTTTATATAAAAATCAAGATCGAAAAATTCCTCTTCGCTAAGATTTCCTATTTTTCAATTCCAGAATTGATTGTCCAGAGCTTACCAAGAGTTTCGTATATAATTATAAAAAATATTTACGTATCCTTATCCCCTTCTTTATGATGTTCATTACGGTATACAAGTAAGTTCCTAATCTTTGAGAAAATATTTCTAACGAAATCAGCAGGAATAATATTCGTGCTATGCAAAAAATGAGACAGTTTTATTCTACTCTTATTAACAAATTTAAAATATGTTTCCTACCATGGAAGGGAAATATGTGGAATCGGCACGAATTTGTTGTGAATTCTTAAAATAATTAATTCTTCGTTAATAATTTAACTTTGAAAAAAAATTTTCAATAATAATTCAGCGTGTGTATATATTTCCATCGTCTTCCTGTGTTTAATAAGTTCATGCATATTCAAGTTTACGGCTTAAATTCTGCGTTCTGCATCATTTTGCATCAGGAATATCCGTTGCAGAGCAAAGTGACGCCAATTGGATACACGATGAAACTAAACTAACTCGTTAAATCTTATTCGCTTTTTTTTTTTTTTTATTCTTTATTATACAAAGTTAAACTGTAAAATAAGACAGTATTAAAAGCACAGGATCAAAAAGTTTAATTTGGATAGCGATCATGTATAAATCTGCCTTCTTCACTGTAATGTTACTCGACTGTTTCGATATTTTATTTCATTGCAGTAATTAATCGACTGTTTTAACGTTTCGTTTTTCCCTCCTTATTTTACTAAAATATTTAAATTTAACGCCCATTTAACTGTTCTCCTTTAATCGATTCACAGAAAATTAAAATTAGCCATAATCGATAATACCGAATCAATTTACAAATTTGCTAATAAATGTTGTACCCAATTTTTCTGAATTGGAATAATTTATTAAAAGTTTGAATCGTAGAGCATCATAAATCAAAATCGATTGATTATTATCTATCAAATAGATAATAATTATTGTTTAACTTTTTTCCAAGATACAATTTATTAACAACGCTTCGATAACATCTGATTATTAATCATTTTCAGAAATTTTCAAATTGGAAACAACAATAGAAAGTTATTTGCAATTCAAATCCAAATGAGCGAGTGAAACTTTTTACTTAATTTCTGAAACTTTTTCAACGAGTTCCTCTATCATTATCGCATGGTCCGCCAATTTTTTCTTTTCATCTTCTTCTCATCCGTTGAAAAATGAAATATTCACCATCACATTGTTTCTTTATTATTTCGCGTTCATGGTTAATTTTTGTCTCGAGACGGTGAACACGAGGAATGGCTAGAGAATTCGTGCAAAATTTTCTCCGTCCATTGTTTTGAAGGCCCGAATATATTATATACTATTTGGTTCGATTCTTGTCGAACCGTGGCTGGTTCTGGTGTTTGACTTCATAATATTATGTTTACTATCTATTCTTAAAATTCGAAAACGAGATTTTCAGACTAATTTCAGGACAACAAATTCCTTCGCTCTGCTCACACACAGATTTCTTTGATAATGTTTCGAACGAATATAATTATGTAAATATTGGAGAATAATGCAAATTTCTAAACGAAATACAGAAAGTAATTTGTATATGCAAAATATACGATGACTTCGACTTTTTTATTCCATATTTTTTGTTCGTATATAATGTAAAACTTTAATTAATAACTAACTGTAAAATAATATTCCGCATAAATGTAACAGGTTATAAAGTTTGAAACGTTAGCCAGTCGAGGAAAAATGTCACAAGGCTAGATTAACTTACTTGCAAGTGGTACTTGTCTCTATTAACATAATTATACGTCTCTCTTTAAAATATATCCTCTTAATGTGCGCGTGTTTACAAAATAATATGAAATTTTAATTTTTTTCTTTTCTTTTTTTTTCTTTTCATTCACCGTTAATACCCCGAAACTGAAAAAGTGCATTAAAATAGATTATGCCATGGTTTAGAAGAAATTTAGAAATCTAAAGAAATATCAGATTCAAAGAAACCTGACTCATTAACTCGTAAGAAAGTATGGATTTTATGTAATCTTCACGTTATAATATCGAAAAAAATACAAATGTATTTTAATTCTTAACGCAACATAAAATTGATCAAGATGGGTCAAACTCGGAATAAAATAATCCATTATAACATATTAACTCGAAAGAAGATATTTTATATCCACCTCACGACATTCTTTCTTTCGTTATGTAAGAAAATCTAAGAGCTCAACGTTTCTTACTTCAAGAAACTTTTTTATTAGATTTATCAAAAAGAATTAATTTTAATAAAAATCGCGTTAATCCAAAAATATTTTGGATCGATACAAAGCCGAACAAAACATACAATAATTTACAAATAAAAAAAATTTGTAAATTAAAACACACCATGTTCAATACATTCTATTCCTAAATTCTCCAAACTTCTTAATAAAGCAAACGTCGTCTCGTGCAACGATCAATCGATCCTTATCATTAAACCGCGATCGAGAAAAGGGGATCCAACCAGTCTGGACACCGATACCGAGGTCCAAGCAAATCGTTTGTCTCGTTTCACATATGCACACGATACACAGAGGAGGAGGACTGTAAAATACACCCAATCCCGAAGGCCGTCCACCTTGCGCTTATACCGGGTGTCCCGGTGTAACCGGTCTCGTTCCGCTCCCCGCCGATCGTTATCGAATTAACGTTAACGTCTTTACGTAATCCCGGTGAGTTATATACACGCGTTCTATTTTGACTGACACCGGTTTCTCTCTCTCTCTCTCTCTCTCGTTCCACCGGCCATTTCTCATGCTACCGGTCGAAAATCGGCCCTCGACCGAGAAACGTGCACTTTTACACGCGTACGAAACGATTTCGTAACGTCACGGTTATCGATTTTAATTATCGGCAGTGCGAGGCGATGACTGGAATACGATGACTGGGTAGGGATGGGTTCGAGTTTGTCGCGTGCATACGAATCATCAATTTACGAGTCGATTTCGGTTTCCCGATGTTTTTGAGTAATAATACACTCGAGAAATAATTACTCGAAAGTTTTTATCATTGTGACGTGGTATTATATTTATGTTTATTAGATTGATGGTAGTCTTATATCTTGTGAAACGAACTTGTACAGATTTTAAAATCTGTCTATTCCTTAAGAATAGTTTTTAGGAAAGAGTAGAAGAAGAGTACTGTCTCATAAAATAGATTCGAAACTGAACAAAGTTCAAGTCTATCTTGCGAGATACTTAATCCCATCGCTAATGGTAAGATCATACTTATTTTAGATTCGTAAAATGATCGATTGTACGTACACATTATTACTTCTCTCCTTTAATTCCCACTTTTTTCCTTTCCATACAAATAAGCCTTTAATTTCGATTAAAAATTCAAGAGAATCGTGAAAAATTCAAAAAGAAAAAAACAGAATCAAATTCTCGTACTCCTTTTCAAAAATAACATGAACCGCGTCGCTTTTCCACAACAAGAATATAACGAAAAATCGAGCGAGAAATAAGAAAAACTCTTAAGCGGTCGCGTGGCCCAAAACCCATCGCGCGACACCAACGATCCATAAGAACAACACGGCAGCACGTGTCCCGCCACCGACCTAATCGATCAACCTCCATCCACCACCGTATACCTGTCTCTCCCTTTTTTTTTTTCCTTCCTTCCTTTCTTTTCCTAACATCCTCCCCTCCTCGAGTGTGCCACAGTCGGTAGTACACGGCCACACAATGCCTCTTAGAAAGTGTGTCAGAGGTGTACGTTTCAATTCTCTTGCCGAAGATTTTTCGCGGCGAACGTTGGTCGTGCACGGCCGGGTAACAGGTGATTAATAGCGTTCCTTGTTTCAACGGTTTCAACGACGTAACGCGTGGCCGTAACGTAATCGATTTCCAAAGCAGGCATCGACCGGACTTGAGGAAACCTTGAATATTCGTTTCGAGGAAACTGGACAGCGCGCGCAGCTTCCTCCACGCGGATGAAAATGTCGGTCGTGGGAAGGTTTCTGTAACAGGATCGTGTTCCTTCTCGCTCGAGATTTTCCTTTTCTCTTTTTTATACACGATATCTCTGGATATCGTTGTGTGTATAGATCTGTCTCGTTCTCTCAGTCTCGCGGTGTTTGGAGATGTTTGACGATGGGGAGGGACGATGTTTGGAGATGATGTTTCGTTCGAAGGTTTTTTTTTTTATTTATATTTCGGACTTGGAAAATAATTT